TTGATGACTAGTTAGTATAAGCATATGAGTCGAAGTTTATCTGTTCCTTTTAGTCCTTGGAGGATTAAAAGCGATATTTTGGGCCCCTCGATGATTTTGTTTTGACTTATGTGTCGGGCCCGGTCATAAGTAAATTGATGTGTTCGATTAAGTTCTATGTCAAACAAATCGGAAATCGGGAAACAAACTGCTAGACAATAAGTACGACGTTGTTCCATATATTTGTCCGACTGATATCTTGAGAACAGAGGATTATATGATCACTTATCTAAAATGGCGCGTCACGGTTCGACAGAGGCTTTTAAGAGCTACGATTTCTAGTCGGTGTTTGAGGTCATACTTGAAACTATAGTTATTAGACTTATCCAAGTGGGAGACTGTTGGATAAGGTGTCTAAGTCCATAACTATATTTGGTATGTACTTGACCCGAGAGTAGCATGATCCATTTGGGTTGCACGACACCAGAACAATCTGAAGGATGGACATTTGAGAAGAGGTTATTTATGGTTTACTAATATATTATAAGTTCTAATATATTAATATGAAATCATATTATTTAATTAGTATTGATCATGAATTAATTTGCAATTAATTTTGTGATCAAAAGAGACTAATTAAATATATGGGGATTGATTGTGTAAATCATTGATTCTTATAATGTGGGCCAATGATCCATAGTTCTTTATGTTGGGCTAAACCAACGTCGCAACCCATGGATGATCCATGGAGGTTTAAACCCATGGAGCATAAGGAATATGGAAGGTCATGCACATTAGGGTTTACATGGTCTAACCCTAGTTTTGCCACACAATATAAGAAACCCATTAGCTCCTAAAATCAGTACCCTAGTGTTCTTGGAAGAGCTATACCAATTTTTTAGTGCAAGTATTCTCTCTTAAAGTCCTCTGTTGTTGGTGGTGTTGTGTGAAGCATTTGAGGAATCAAACTTGGGGTGCTAGGCTCTTAAAGGTCCAAGGAATCAAGCTACAAGAAAAGGTATGTATTCTAACTAGATTTTTGTTATACAAGTACCCATGTGTGTATGCTAGTTAGGGAAATTCATTGGAAAATCATTTTGCATGTATAATTAGAGAAAACATAGATCCAAAGCATTTAGGGTTGTATGTGCACCTTAAGGTTGTTAGGATGCTCAAAACCCTTCAATAGTGACCATAATGAGTCTAGAAGGCTGTCTTCTACACATCCTCGTCCTGAACTCTCATCTGATGATAACACGATCTCAAGTCAGTCTTGGAGAACCAAGATACAACCTGAAGCAAGTCAAATAAATCATCGATCCTTGGAAGTGGATAACGGTTCTTCACCATCAGCATGTTCAACTCCCGGTAGTCAATGCACATCCTGTTTGAACCATCCTTCTTTTTCACAAACAGGATAAGTGCTCCCCACGGTAACTATTTGGTCTGATGAATCCCTTGTCTAATAGCTCTTGCAGCTATGTAGACAACTCTTGTATTTGCGGAGGTGCTAAGTGATTGGGTGCCTTGGCTATCGATGCCGCACCCGAAATCAGATCAATCTGAAACTCGACCTATCTCTCAGGAGGCACTCCCGAAAAAATCCTTGGGAAACACATTCAGGAACTCTTGTACGATGGGAACGTCATTTGCATTCTTCTTATCCTCAATTCACGTATCCACCACAAAAGCTAGGAATCCGGATCACCCCTGCTGAAGATACCTCCAAGCTCTCGCAGCTGTACAGACTGTCGATCCATGTTGAGAACCTTCACCATGAATAATAAGTTATCCCCCACTTGGGGTCCGTACTCTCACTAACTCGTGCTCATAATCAATCATAGCCCCATTGGGGCCCAACCAGTCCATACCCATTATAACCCTCAACCCTCGCAGAGGAATCCGAACCAGATCAATTGAATATTTCTCACTGAACATATTCAAAACACATCCCCGATGAACTCTCGAAGCGTTCACTGAATGATCATCAAAAATCTCCACCTCCAACGGATAGTCCATAGTCCTTGGAGTGTCTTTAAACTTCATGCTACGTGTAATAGACACAAATGATCGGGTAGCACCCGAATCAAAAAATAACAAGAGCGGGAAACCCATTCACTAAAAACATCCTTAAATGTAAATAAACACACAACATAAGAGTAAACAATGAATGCAGTAAAGTGAATGAAGAAGATACATACCAGTAACCACATCCGGTGTTGCTCGTGCCTCCTCGGATGCTAACTAGAATGCCCTGCTTCTCACCACAGGAGCTTCTGCCTTGCCCTCCTGACTGTCCGTAATCCTTAGCATAGCTGGAATTGGGGCCCTCGTCGCTCCACCTGATAATCTTGGGCAATCAGCCTTCTTATGGCTCGCCTGATTGCAATTGAAGCATATGAGTGCTCCCCGAGTGCAATCTCTATTGTAATGTCCAGATTGGCCGCAATTAAAGAAACTCCCTCCTTTCTCACGACAGTTCCCCTCATGAGACCTCCCACACTTGGCACAACAGCCCCGAACCTGCTATCCCCTTGATTGTGAATCAAAAGTCTTGGGCCTCTTCATGTGCCCCACCACTGTCTGTACTTGCTCCGGCTTGCACTTCGTCCGAAGCTCCAACTCAATCTCCTGTTCTCGTGCTCTGGAAATCATATCCTCCAAGTTCTTAGAGCTCGACAGGCTAATAAACTCTCAAATGTCGTCCTTGAGCACGTCATACATTGTCTTCTTCATCTCCTTATCCACGACATATTGTGGAACCGACAAAGCCATTTCCCTGAACTTGGCGGTGATCTACGCCACAGTATCCGTTGTCTGGCGAAGGTCCTGAAACTCCCTCGCCAACTGATGTACCTCAATAGCCGGTTCGAAATCAGCTATGAATATCATCACAAAATCAGCCCAGGTCAAGGCCGCCACGAGCTCATCTCCCAAAGCATGAACAACCTCCTCCCACCAGTCGGGGGCACTGTCCCTCAGAAGGCAAGATGCAAATCCCACCATCGACAACTCAGGTCAGAAACTCGTCCACTGAGCATTCTCCATATCATCAATCCAGCGTCTACTGGCAGTAGGGTCCTTCTTCCAGAAGAACTCTAGGGCTCCACAAATATTGAACTCCTGAAAAGATAGAGTTTGTGCCTCTAATTGACCAACTTCAATCTCGGCGCAAAAGGCCCTTAAGCGATAATCTAATAGCTCCATGATCCTATCCTTAATGGTACCAAACGTCATAGGATTCGCATCCAAATTACTACGAGTGATCTTCTACATAATGAAATCGCATATATGAACCAGAACCTCCTCCTCGAGTGCTCAGCACCATACTGAATGCAAACATATAAACGATCAGAACATAATCGAGGGAGCTCTCACACTTCAAGCTCCTTAATTAGGATCTTCGTGATTTTCCTTGTGTTAGGAATAAAATCCTTTAAGATCGTTTAGATTCAAGAAGGTAAAGTGATAACACAATATGCAAATAAGAACACACGATGTATCAATTGGTGTCGAATGATTAAAGACACAACCTCATAAGAACTCTATAAAGAATTGCTACCGTAGAGGCGTGGTAGGGTTACAGAGAAAGGATTAAATCAACGACTCTCACTACGGTGCATGCATGCACTATATATATACTATAACCCTAATAATTAATATGGATGGACATGCCCATACCGTGAACATAATGGACACAAACAAAGCAGCCCAATGACACAATCTAATATACTCAACAATCTCCCCCTTTGCGTCAATTGAGGCCCGAACCCTTCAGCCTTGGATTCGCTTCTGCACATCGTACACCTTTGGAATTATGGCATATATTGCTTGGCGAACTTCAATATACCAAACAATCATATCAGAGAAGCACTTGATATCATCTTTCCTGTTGCCTCTGAACTTGCTCACTTGCTCCAAAATAAACTCAAGAAAGGTTGTGGTGTAGAGATGCTTGTCTGAAAGATAGAAACAACCTTTACGAAAATCTGCTCCAGATCGTTCCCTAGCAGAATAAACCACGAACCAATCTCCACCGTAGAGTTTCCCTGGCTTCAATTTTTCAAAATCCTTAGGATTTTCCTTAAGGACAGCCGAAGGTTTCTTTCGCAGGACTGCAGCAACTTCAGCATCCATCTCCCCAATCTTCTGGATGTAGGACTATATCATAATTTTAAGATGAGACATGACAGGTTCATACTTTTCCTTGTTCTTCAGCAACAAGTTATAAAGAGCGAACCAATCGTTTGGGTTGAGGCATGGAAGATCTGCAAGAGTAAACTCGAAGCATTGATTGGCTGAACCTCTCGCTACTTTAAACTTAGCGTGTAGAGAGCTATCAGTCTCAATCGGTCCTGTAACTTTCACACCTGTAATCTTGCTCAATGACCAAGTCTCATATTGGGGCTTCATATGCTTAAGATAGAAAGAGAAAAGCATATGATCAGCTCCACTGTCTATGATTGGAGCAAGCGATACTTTAACGAAAGCACGAAAACGGAAAGCTTTTGGAGTGATAGGCATATTAAGTTGGGAGTCTTCTGTGTTCTGAAGCTCGAACGAAACTACAGGTTCCAACCAATATTGGCTTGGAAGATCAACAACATCACGTTGGATTCGCTTGATAGTCCACTTAGGAAACAACAGCTTTTTACTTTGTAAATTGGCTTGTGCTTCTTTTTCAGCCCTTTCTTTTTCTTCAGCCTCACGAATGATTCGCTGATGTTCATTCATTTCAGCTTCACAGACTTTTCGCCTTTTAAGTTCTTCTTCAGTGATCTCCTCTTCGTATTCATTATCAATGATTGGATCATCACGAAATAGTTTTTCCTTGCCTTTAGGTTCCTTCTTGACAATAGGCTTGACTGGAGCTTTTGGTTCTTCCTTTCTTGATCCACCAGCCACATTTTCTCCCCCTTGTTTCAGATTAAAGGCTTGATCAGAAACACCTTCAAGCCGATGAAGCATAACAAAGATAGGCCTTAACTTCTCTTGTAGATGCTTTCGTATGGTGATGGTGATCATTGAGTCCCTGGGCTCAATGATGTCCGAGGGCATGCTAGTAACATCAGTATGCAGCTTTGCATGACTGCCCTCTCTGACAACAAATCATGGACCTGTTTCTCAGATGCTTCAAGTTTGGTGCTTAAAACCTTGGCTTCTTCAGTTTTAAAAGCAAGAGAATCCTTGAGAGTACCTTCCTTCACAAGTTCGTCTTTAAGCTGAGAAAGCTGAGACGAAATAGAAGTTTGAAAGGAGTCATGGTCAGTTTTCAGACCAGCACGAATCTCTAGGGGTTTTGTCCTTTTAGTCGTGAATAGAGAACCCAGACTCTTCAAGGCTTCATTTGCTGATGTGGTGTTGGAATTGTAAGTGGTTTGGAATTTCTCCATGAAAGCAGTGGTTTGCTCAATTAGTTTATCAACTTTCTCGATCGTGGATTTGCAAACCTCAGCAGAATCAACAACAACTTTATTCGAGGTTTCAACAGAGGCAGTATGTTGTTTCATGATTTGCTCAAAGAGAGACTCCACAGCTACTTTGGCATAATCCTCTGTAGACGAGGCTTTGGTAGACTGAAGCAGCTGGTCAATCTTTTCATGTAGAGATTGAAGTTGCTCTGCAGTTACATGTTCCACACCATCCTTCTCAGTCCTAATTTGGAAGGGACTATAAATAAAACCTTCAATATCATCGTCTTCGTCATCACAGAAGACCATGTCTAGATCATCATGGTTAATAGGGGAAATAGGATGTGAAAGATGAGTTGTAAAACTGGAAGGTTCAGCCCCCGTATCAGATACGTTGACAGAAACAAAAGGTTGGATAAAGATAGTAGGAGCAATGGTTGAATCAGCAAAGATAGGGGTGGAAATGGGAATAGTTGATTGTGGTTGAGACGAAATGGGTGGAGGGCCAGTGGTGACTGGTTGAGAAATAACAGGAGGTGGACAAGGTGCGATAGTAATGGCAATGGAGGTGTGAGTGTGAGAAGGAGGAGGAGTTTGAATCTTATCATTAAGATTTACCTCATGAATTGGTGATGGTGGAGGCGAATGACCACGGGGCGAATCCTCAGATTGGGAGTCTTCGCATTCGCTTGATTCTCCAATGGTGGTCTCCTTAGGAACATACTCAAAATCGCTTGAGGAAGAGGAGCTAGGTGTCAGAGTCATCTTTCTTAACTTTCGCTTCTTTGGAGCGGAAGGAGCAGCACCTTTGGTCTTTCGCTTCTTGGGGTTGGAGACTTGTGTTGATGGACCTTCAGAAACCCCTTTCTTCTTATCTCCCTTCTTTCCTCCCTTTTTGGCTTTATCAGCATCGTCCAAAGATTTTTGCATCTCAGGACTTATTTCTCTTGGACCAGAAACTGGATTCGTCTTATATGACTTAAAAATAGTACTTTCCCCAGACACACTTCGAAACATGGATTCAGGAATCGATCCTATGAAGGAAAATTTGGAGTTGTCTGAGATAATGATCTTTCTTGTGTGGAATGTGGCGATAGAGGCCTTCAACGAATCCTCCATGACAGGAACATTAAACTTTTCAATTGCCCTTTGCACCACTATGGTCCAAAAACGACCACAAGAGATTTCACTGTGCCTGGAAGAAGAGTCCATACTCTGTACCAACTGAGCCCAAAATACTGAGCCGTAGTCAAGGTTAATCCCATGTTAGAGCCCATAAAGGATTGTCATAAAACGTTTGCTGGCATAGTCCGACCCAGCAACTCTCTTAGAAAAGGCTTTGAAGATGAGAGTAAAAAAACCATTCCATTGTGGTGGGAGAGAAGATTTCTTGAACTTTGTGATCGTGGTGAGAATGTCAGCATACCCCATGTGATAGAACATCTCAAAGATTTGAGCAGTAGAACTTGACTCTGGGTTGACCATGGAGTCATCGTAAGTTAGCCCTAGCAGTGAGCAAAATCGAGCTTTTGAAATCGAAGCTTTCTTGTCAAAGATCTCGAAGATGATCTTCTCTGCTTCCTTCTGGTATGTCGGAGTGAAATAATCCTTAGAAAGCATTGACAGTGGAACCTACTCAACCTTTGTTAGGGCAATGACCAACGGTGAGTACTTGAGACATTCCACTGTAGGCAGCATGTAGGAATCGTACTTGAATGGTGCAAGATCCAAGATCAAATTTTGATTTTGCTTGATTGAGAGAAAAGAGGAGTGAGCGGTTTGATCTTTAACATATGAAGAGTCGGCCATTGTTGCAGGTGTTTGGGGAGGATGAACAGTAAGAGAGAATTTGCCTTTTAGGGTTCTTGATAGTTTTGAAAGTGGTAAAGTTGAACATAAGAATCGATAACCCTTTTATACAATTGTCCAAGAGAGAGAATTGAATCGTCGAGCGGATAGCGATCTCGTAAACAACGCCGAAAAAGGCGTGATTTGACAATTGTCATCCCGAAAAGCGTGTCAGGCGGCGTTACCAATGGTGACGTTTCAAATTCATGCGCCTTTACTTTGAAATCTTATTTATTCCCCGCCTCTTCATATTATCCTTTAACGCTTCATATTCTAAGTCGATAAACGAAGCTCCTTTCTCCTGAATAAGCCCATGTGGGAGCGAGATACCTGAACATCCTGTAAAACGAATGAGCTATAGTTACCTTGAACAAGACTTTTGGAAAGTCAATAGTCTTTCGTGCAAGGGTGTGCCAAAGAAAAATAAATAAATCAAGTTATATATATGGGATTTAAGTGATGTCATTAGAGACATGAAACTGAGGATCCCGGGCACGAATCTCTTCTTTCAAAGTCAAGAGAGACTTAGAAATGTTTGTGTGGTTTCTCGTTGAAGTACGATCAAATGTTTGTTAAGAAACATTGAAAGGCATCTTTTAATTTCGGCTTCAAGGCTGGCTTTCGTTTCAACCAAACTACGAACTTGATATAAGAACGAAAGTTGGATGAAGTACTTGTGTGGCCAGTGTAGCCTTAAACACCAAGTAGGTTTGATAATTTTGTAGTAACTTGGGAAAAGTTTAGAAATCTCAAAAACAAAAAACGAAACAGGATCTTTTGGGAAGAAATGTCTTAGTTTCAGAACATTCCATAAAGATCTCGTAAAAATAAAAGAGATTTCGTGGTACAAACCATAATGGCTTTCGTTAATTCGTGGGTGAACGAAACTAAGACCATAATGGCTTTCGTTAATTCGTGGCTTTCAGAACATTCCATAAAACTTTTAATGATTCACCGTCAATTCATTGAGGTATTGGATTATGGGTCTCACTTAGTACGTGGTAAACGAAACTAAGATCATCAACACAGAGGTTGTGTGACCGTAAACCTCAGTGGTGAATGCTGAGAGCCTCAAGGGTCACGTTTATGAAACGAAATTGATGGAGACGAGTGTTGAGGTGGTATAAGAAACGATAGTACCTCTGCTATGCAAAAGTGACCAAGCAGATAACTCTTAACTCAATGTGAGAAGAGTAAGGTAGCTCATGACTAATGTGAAAGCAGTAGCCTGATTGGGAAGAAACAATTTGTATATATCGAATCATTAAGGCTTCACATAGAGTCGTGGAGGCTTTAGACAACATACAACAGCATTCTTCTAGGGACACTTAGCTAATACATAGATAAAGAAGTTTATACCTGCCCCATCAAGCGAATTAGAGTTTCTCTAGATATGGATTGTCATAAGCTTCGCTATTATATATTTTTGGTATTTTGAGTTTTTGTGAAAAATAAAAAAATAAAACTAAACACAAAAGAAAATATTTTTGTTAATTTTAATTTTCTGAAAAAGAAATAAAAATAGAGATGTAAAATATTTTTGTGGTTTTTCTGAAAAAAGAAATAAAAACAGAAATATATGATATGCTTAAACGAAATAGTATACATAAAGTACAAAAGGATATAGGAGTTCCAAACCAATGAGTTAGTGGATTAATCAACCGAGAGTTTGCTTATAGAGAATGAGTGAAGCGAATTGGAACGAGAGTTCGGTCCATTTCGTGTCTCGAAATAACGAAATAGAGCGAGCGTTCGCCTCATTTCGCTTTACAAAATCTTACAAAACGAAGGAGATTCTCATGAAAGCGAAGGTGGTTTTGGAACAGATTCAGCTTCCATCATTCCTAAGCCTTGGAGTATTCTATTAAATGATGCTTCAGGCAAGGCTTTTGTGAATATGTCAGCTAGTTGATCAGAGGATCGAACGAAGTGTATTTCAACGTTGCCATCTTCTACGTGATCCTTGATGAAGTGATACCTCAGTGCAATGTGTTTTGTCTTTGAGTGCTGCACTGGATTATGACAAATACGAATGGCACTTTCTGAGTCACAGTATAGAGGGATTCGTTTCATGTTCAAGCCATAGTCTCTCAATTGGCTTTGAATCCAAATAACCTACGAAGCACAAGATGCAGCAGCTATATACTCAACTTCGTCTGTAGATAGGGATACACACGTTTGTTTCTTGGACTGCCAACTGACGAGTTTTCCATCAAGAAATTGACACCCGCCAGTAGTGCTTTTTCTATCTAAGCCACATCCTCCAAGATCAGCATCTGAGAATGCTTGACCAGAACCCTGATTTCGCTGGATACCATATACCAAGCGACGAGGTTCGTTTCAGGTATCTGAAAATGTTCTTGACAGCCACCATGTGAGGTTTGCGTGGATTAGCATGAAATCTAGCACAATAACAAACAAAAAACATAATGTCTGGTCTACTAGCTGTTAGATACATTAATGACCCTATCATCTGACGATACGGAGTCATATCAGCAGCTGGTTTTTCCAGAGATGGTGTCAGTTTCATTCTGAATGCCATTGGAACTTTCACTCTGTAATCTCCCATCATGCCAAACTTCACCAGCAAGGTCTTGGTGTAATCCTCTTGATTTATGAAAATTATTTCTGGTCCGTGTCTAATATTCAGTCTAAAGGAAAAAGTTAGTTGGACCCATTGAACTCATCTCAAATTTAGTTTCCATCAACTTACGAAACTCAGCTGTTAAGCTAGGATTCGTAGAACCAAAGATGATGTCATAAACATAAATTTGGACGATCATTAGGTGGTCACCTTCTTTCTTGCGAAAGAAGGTTGGGTCAACCGAACCTTGTTTGAATTTTGATATTTTAAGAAAGCGAGTTAGAGTTTCATATCAGGCTCTAGGTGCTTGCTTTAGACCATAGACTGCTTTGTCCAAAATATAGCAGTGATTCGGAAATTTCTCATTCACGAAACCCGGTGGTTGCTCGACATATACAGTCTCTTCCAGTTCTCCATTCAGGAAAGCACACTTGACATCTATTTGAAACACCTCAAAATTCTTGTGTGCTGCATATGCCAGAAATATACGAACAGATTCTAACCTTGCTACTCGAGCGAAGGTTTCTTCATAGTCGATTCCTTCTTCCTG